TAAAAAATAGTAATTACTTTCCTTATTTCCGTAATGTCTGAGTGGAAAGTTTATTCGTTCAATAGAACGAAGCCACACATTTCTCCCCCCTTTGGTTTTGAGAGATCACTTTCACACCCATTCACAACTAGACCGAGCGCAACTTATCTGCCACACAATAGACTCACTTACACACATAGTTGCTGCTGGTCTATTTAGCTATTTAGATTTTGAGTCACTCATTCCTAGCGCAGTGATTTTTGATTATTACGATAATGTGAACCTGGATTGGCTATTTCTGGTCATGTCTAAGCTGGGGTTCCATGGTAGATTCCTTTCATTGCTACGCAAGATGTACTCCTCTCCTACAGCAAGGATATGGACCCAGTGAGCTCTCTCTCGACATATTAGTTTATGTAAAGGAACCCGACAGGGGTGCCCCCTATCCCCCCTTTTGTTTAATTTAGCGTTAAAACCATTGGCTAGATATATCTTACAAACTGCCTTTTTGATACCTTTAGCACTTTCTCTGGGCTACGCATTAACTATTCTATTCTGGCAGCAATGTCCTCCTCAGCATGTGACAATCCTTCAACATTTGCAGTGGCACGCCGGGACATCACCTACCTGGGAATCAAAGTAGGTAAAATACCATCATCACTATATAAATTTTAATTTCCCTCCTCTTATAGATAAGATAATACGGGAGTTGGAGAGTTGGAAGGGTTTGCCCCTCTCGCTTTTCGGAAAAGATTCACTTAGTGAAAATGACAAAGCTTTGCGAGACTGCTGTATCCGTTGCAGACGGTTACCTTGTTGTTAAAACATAAGGATATTCAGCGTCTTAACAAAGGCAATGGTCCAGTTCATACGGCGCTTTAGGCACCCGAGGGTTGCTTTGAAAAAGCTCTGGCTCCCAAGAAGCGAGTGGGGTTCAAAATTTCCCTAATGTTAGGCTATATAATTTGGCATGTATACTGCGCCATGCTGTGGATTGGCTCATGGACAGCTCGAGATTCTCTCATTGATCTTGAAGCAGCTCTGGTACATCATTGTGACTTTAGGGCCATAGTGCAAATTGTCAAAGCTCCCGGGAACACTGAGCTGTCACCTGCTAATCAGGGACACGGTCTTGGCGTGGAAGGTGGTTAGACGCAGGCTGGGCTTTTCGCCTTATCGATCGGCAATGTGTCCACTGCGGGGGAACCCTATGTTCCCTCAGGGCGGAGACTATGCTGCTTACATGTCATGGCACAGGAAGGGGCTTACTCATTGGAAACAGCTGTTCCAAGGTGGTACTTTTCAACCTATACCTTTCCCAGCACTGGCACAGCAGTATACACTGCCACCCTCTCATTTTTTTGTATTATTTACAAGTTAACAAAACGTGGCGCATGTTCTCCAGTGACCCCAAAAAAACGCTTTGCCTCTACCTTCCTGGATGCCCTCATCCCTGGAGGGAGTTATTCTATCTCCGATGGTCTAAGGACTTCCCAACCCCGAATCTGGTAGAGCGCATCGTGGATGGCAATAGCTTGTAATAGAAAATCCATGTCATCAAGGGAAAAAAAAAAAAAATGTATAGAAAAGCGAGAATCCTCCTCCTGCAAGGTTTCTCCCTCCTCTAAAGAACTATCAGAGAGGGATTGTGCATCATGTCCCTCTCTTTCTACTCCCTCAGTTGATTTTACAACAGACCTCTGTGACGGTAACCCAGAGGGATCATCTACAGCGAGTGCTGAAGAAGAGGTAGGTCGGCAACATTTCAGGAAGCGCATTACTAAAGGACTGTACCGTAGCAACCACCTTATTACGCATACAATCCATAAAGTGAGCCTCTAAGCTTATGAAAGCAATCCTCACAATATATTGACAGGATGAAGGCCATAGTGCATTGCAAATTGTCAGCCGAGCATTACAGTTGCCACAACACTTTAGACTTTTTGAAGGCTGGGGCAACAGTTGCCAACAGACCCTGGGAACTAGTCTTGTCAGAGACCACTGTATCCTTAAAAAGATAAAATATAACTAGTGAAGCAAGTAACAGATCCCAAACAGGGATCTTGCAGAACAGCACAGGCACTGTAGCAGAAGAACCACCCTTCAGGGCACTTACCACCTTTGCTTTGGATGCTGTCCCCGCCCCTTTTCTCTCCTCCTCCTCCATGGTGGCCCCCTCAAACAATGTCCAACTCTAAATCAAACAACGTCGACCGGAAGCGACACTGCAGCCCCACCCGGAAGTAATGGCACTGCTAGGACTGGAACCGGAAGGGATAGCACTGCTAGGACCGGAACCGGAAGTGACACCACACACTCCAGAACGAGGCCTGGGTCACCCATCACTGCCCCCAGCCAGTCCAGGGCAAGCTCAGCCTCTCCAGCCCTGCCGCCAAGTCATGTTACCTACATGCCAGAGAAGAGGGCAAGATCCTGGAATATGGAGGGGATTCCTGTGTACCAAGCACGAGGGCTGCGGGATTCCCACCATAAGCAGAGCTGCACAGAGGGGGGCGACTGACCCAACAGCCAGGAGAAGTAAGAGATGAGGGTGGTGGAAGGTGTTTTTAAACAGTTTCCATTGTGTTTCCTGTAGAAGGAAGAACCAATCATCTCTCAGTTTGCTGTCCTGGAAGAGGATTGGAGAAAATGGCTGTATGATCAAAGGTGGTTCTTTGCGTGTATCAGAGCCAGCTCAGGAGAAGAATACTCAATCAAATATATACAGAGTGTTCTTGGAGACAGAATGGAGTCAATCGAGGACTACTCATGTGAGTGAATGGGAGCAACTACAATAAAGATGGACAGGCCAGAGGGTGGGACTTCACTGGAACAAAGGATGACTAAAGCCATTGATAGGGGGAAATGGGGAGATAATTTTCCACAAGTGCAATTCCTAAATTGCCAAGAAGTCCTGTTAAATAAGGAATTTGTAGACCAGCAACAACCGAAGCCAAGTGGCTTTTAGTTTATTCTCTTACAGAAATCATTACATGTGCTAGAAAAAAGTATATAGTGTATGAATGTGTAGGTATATATTAGCAGTCTGTATTTTGTATTGTTTTACCTGTAACCAAGTAGTTTGCATATGTAGCATTGTTGCATAGTAAAAGCAGGTTACTGCTACTACTACTGGGTCAGTTTTCTTGGCTTTTCTACAAGAATGAGAAACACATAGCTGTAAAAGTTTGCAAAGCAAACCAGCTGGCTGCTAGAAAACATTTGCTGAATATGGAAAAAAAAAATCCCAAGGCGCGTCCAGGCAACCAAATGTTGACCAACAGCCGGCTGATCCCACAGCACTGCCAGAGCTGACAGTGTCAAAATAATTTGTTTAGCTCCTCCAAAGCAAAAAGGTTTAAAAACTATTTAGACACAGTGAACAAAGCAGGCTTGTACAGTGAATGCAGCAGGCTTGTACAGTGTAGTCGTTTTTATAGAGGGGGTGTGGTGGCTACTCTGCTGCACTTTAGCTCCCAATAGACTCCCACAATGTGCGCTTCAGTCTGGGGTGGAGGTACAGCAAAGTACAGATAGAAATTAAAATTACATTTGAATGAATAAGGGGCCGTAGGTAAAAATGGGACCAAGTGCTACATACACTTGTTCCCTTCAGAAATTTAACTAGGATTTTTCAAATGTGATGATACATTTTCTTTAAACATGTTGAAGGGAATTTATCAAAACTGGAGCAGACAAAATCTGGAGCAGATGTGCATGGCATCTTTAATTTTCAAATCTAAACAAACGGAAGAGATAAGCTGATTGGTTGCCAAGCACTGCTGCTCCAGATTTTGTCTGCTCCAGTTTTGATAAATTCCCCCCATTGAACATAATAATTCAATATAAAAGTAATAATATCCATAAAATACATATATGTGCTATAACTAAATCAATATGCAACATCAATGAAATTCAGCCCTCGTTCACACCTGAACGTTTTGTAGCGTGTTCTACGCTCGACAAACGCTCTACAAAACGCTAAAAAATGTAAATCCCATTGTATTCAATTGTCTCGTTCCCACCTTGGCGTATTTCCGCCCATCCCTAACGCGCTACAAAACGGCCCACGCCTGAAAAGGTACAGGTACTACTTTGGGCCGTTTTGTTGCACGTTTCCATTGGGGTACAGCCAAGTAGCCTTCGGGGTCGCGCGACTTTACCGCTAATCGCGGTGACAGACGCGCATATGCAATACGCCTAGGTGTGAACGAGACCTTAGAGTATATAAAAAGTGTCCATCAAAAATTCCCAATGAAATAATCACAGGGCCCAATGGCAGGCAAAACTGCGTTGGGAGGCTTCCAAAATGAGTACATGTTTTCCATATCATAGTGCTAAGCTGAACACTGTTCTTGTGAGTTTATTTTAACTATACCCATTTTCTAAATATTGCTAAGTTTCATTGATGTGCTATATTTATTGATGGTATGAGCGCATTGATGTATTTTGTTTTATTGATTTGTGTCATAAGTACATTATTCCCAGAATTATAGGTTTTAAAAACACACTTTTTTTTTTTTTTTTTACAGCATAATCTCCAGTCCTTCTGAAGGGCCAAGCTTTTATCACTTCCCAATGGTGAAGCATTGCCACCCTTTCCTGCACAAACCTATTGGCCAGTTAGGCAGCCAATCATAGCAAAGAGCCAATAGGAAAGTACGGGGGGAGTAGGTAAAGGCAAGGTTGAACACTACCTGGAAGTAAAAGATGTTTACTATTCAGAAGATCGGGTAATGTAATTGTGTAATTGAAATTAAGCAGGACCTTAGAGGCTACTGCAGGTATATGCAATCCCTCTAGATGCGTCCACATTATACCTGTAGCCATTTTGTTTTTAAATGAAGTCTCTTCAAGGAGTTCACTACAGGTGAATGGACACACCATTTGTGTGTTTAATTCAAGCACACTGTTCTGAGAACAGCAGAAAATGTACAACATTAGTCTCTTTGTTGAGGGTTTTCTCTACAAGACTGGAAAGTACTTTGCTCTTTAAGATAAATAAAAAGTAAGATTCCCACCTGTCTCAGATGTTACATCATCCGCTGCTCTTCTGGCTACTTCTGCAGAGATCTTGTTTAGGTGGTAAGCCTGCATCAGAATATTACTTTATATGAAATGGCTACTAAATCATACATTACAGCAAAACAGCAAATATAGCATGCTACAGATAAACTACATCATTAGTCTTCTACCTTTGTTATGCTACAAACACCCAAAAAACTTCATTAGAAAGTGCACCTCCTTCACTTTCTTGGCGGTCAAAAAATATGCAAAAATGGAAGAGAAAATGTATTTGTAAATCTTTGCTTTGTAATATGCTTTGTACCAGTGTAATTTTAGCACAACTATAATTATAAAAAAGGACACATTTGTTCTGAAAATAAAAATATATACCAATCAGCGATAACATTATGACCACCATCCTAATATTAAGTGCCCCTTTGCCTCCTAAACCGCCCTGACCCGTCGAGGCATGGACTGCACTAGACCTCCGAAGGTATGCTGTGCTAACTGGCTAGCTGTCAGTAGCAGTACAATGCCTAAGCATCACACTGCCTCCACCAGCTTACCTTTTTCCCCATAGTTCATCCTGGTGCCATCTCTTCCACAAGTAAGCAACATACACACACTTAATCATCCATATGATGTAAATAGTATATAGTTATGATGCTTACATGCCCATTGTAGGTACTGTTGGCAGTGGAAAACTAAGCTAAGAAGCCCCCTATGTGATAGCCATTTTACATGACCGGTCCTCTTTATGAAGACATCAGGGGTCTCCATGACCCCTACTGTCACCTTGGGACCCTCAGAGAAGCAGATGAAGCAGAGATATGCTTCACCAGTTTTTCCCCTGCTTCTGTAGCTGGGATTGACAGCTGAATGTGGAAGTAATACATCTGTTCCTGCATTCTGACAATGGAGAGGATATCAGAGGGAAATCGTGTAATGATTTAATTTTGTACAGATGCTGAAGCGCTTTTATTTAAACAACCACCGCCAGCTGTTTACATTCCGTGTAGTTTCCCTTTCGTGTGCGTGCTGGGCGCTGCGCACGAGTGGTGGCAGGATATCTTAAAACGCCCACCCGCATCTACAAGGCTCCCATCCGGCCATTTAGGTATGGCCAATAGACAGAAGGTGGTTAATAAAGTTATTGCTAAATAAACAGGCCCTTACAAAAATTAAAAATAAATAAAACGGGGAAAAAAAGGAAATTAATGAATGAAGTGTAAAAAGGTATACATTTGAAAGCGGAAGTATGTAAAGGTTATATATACACATGAACAATGATAAAACTTGCAAATTTATATATCAAAAGAGCAAAATACCATACTCTCACAATGAATTGAGTAACAAATGTAGCCGTAATGGGAATAATTTTTTCATGTTCTTTATAGCGACAATAAACTCAGGTGTCAAATCTTAAACATGTATTCAAGTAACTTAACTATTAACAAAAAATGTTCCGTTAGACTTACTGGCAACAGGATTTCTAGAAATCTTCCAGGACAGCAACCTGAGAGATGATTGGTTCCACCCTGATGATTTAGGTAAGCTAATTGTCTGAAAATATCTGTAGATGCTGCTTCTCCAAAACTGGCTGAAAAGCGATCAAGGCTTCCTTTACTGCATAGAGCTCCCTTACATTTGAGGAGGAAGTTATCAACTTCTGGGACAGTGACCCCTGTGCCTGAAGGCTCCGAGTATGAGCCCCCCAACCCCATGAGCTTGCATCTGTAGTGATCCTTACTGGAAACCGGAGAACCTTTTCCTCAGCAAGAAAAAGTCTCTGGCAGACAGAATGAATTCTGTAACCTAAAAAAACACAATTAATTGAGTTGGGGTTAAACAGGACTTTTCCCAGTTCAATATCCACCACAGGGATTATAACAGGCCCTTGACCTTTTTCAGACTTGTTAACACTTCTTCCTGTGAGTGGGCATAAACCAGGATGTCATATAGGTATGGAATCAGAAATATGCCTTGTTGGCGCAAAAAAAGACACCGGCGCTGCAAAGATTTTCGTGAAAAATCTTGGGGCTGCTGATAGACCAAAGGGGAGGGCTCGAAACTGCCAGTGCAGTACTCCCTGCCCTGTAGCCACAGCAACCCGAAGGTACCTCTGGTGCTCCAGACAAATAGGCACATGCAGGTATGCATCTTTTAGGTCCAGGGTGATCATAAAGACTGAATTCTGAAGCGTATTTCGTTCTTTGCTTTCCATACGAAAGTGCTTGAAAACTAGACACCTGTTTAATCTCTTCAGATTTAGGATCATCCTGAACCTCCCCCCTGGTTTTGGGACCAGAAATACATGGGAGTAAAAACCCTGAAAATGCTGCTCTGCTGGGACCCGTAGAATGACAGTCTGTGATGCTAGAGTATAACCACACTCCTCCAGGGCTTGGGCCTTCATGCGATCCTTTGAAATTTTTGTTAGAAAAACAAGTTTGTGGGGGGAAGGGATAAAAACTCCTTTCTAGGAGATTTAACACATATTGACTCTGAAATACTCTCCCATTGTGTTTTAAATAGAGAAAGTCTTCCCCCCACCTTTATGCTGGCGTTATTTTAAATCTTTATTAGGGATGGCTGGACTGGAAAAAAGCAGGCCTCCCCTAGCTTTGTTTTTATTAAAGGGCCAGGCTCTTCGCTGGGCCTAGGCTTTATTAGGTTGCTTCCTCTGCTCCTGCGGGTAGCGAAAAAACCTTTGATTGCGTATTAGCTTATTCTTCTCTGGAAATTTCTTTCCCTTTTCAGAGGATCTGGTTAAGACTTCATCTAATCCAGAACAAAACATAAAACCTCCCTCAAAAGGGAGACCACAGAGTCTGGATTTAGAGGTTAGGTCTCCTTACAAAGACTTCAACCAGATAGCTCGTCTGGCTGAGTTAAGCAAAGCCGCATATCTTCCACCTGCTCTTACTGACTCCGCAGATGCATCTGCAAGATATGCCACTGATCTACTGATAACAGATAGAGATTCTACAATCTGTTCGGGAGGAGCACCCTGGAATATATGGAGTGAGACTCTCTCCAGCCAGCGATCCATATTCCTTGCCACACATGTGTCAGCCACCCCTGGGGCCATTGAAGCAGCATTGGCATCCCAAACCCTGCGTAACATTGCCTCTGCTTTCCTATCCATTTGATCCTTTATTGCACCTGCATCCAGGGGCGTATCTGCCGCGAGTCAAACAAGGCGTTTGCCTTGGACGGCACTTTCCAGGGGGGCCGCCTCCAAAACAGTCAGGCAAGCCGGGCCGCACAGAATTCGGCAGCCTTGGCTGCCAAATCTAGGTGGACAGTCAGTTTTAAAGTGAGAGGGGACCTCAACACTGCTGTGCGCAGGCAGCATTAGGAGCCCTGACACATCGGAGAGTGCATCGCAGCCGCCGAACACATGAGATGTTCGGGGGCTGCGATGCGCACTTGGATGTGACAGGGCTCCTAATGCGGTCTGCACACAGCAGCATTAAGGACTCCTGTCGCCTCCGAAGGGCGCTGTAGATAACGCTACCCGCTGCAGACTCACAGACTGTCAGTGGTTTCACCCGACAGTCTGTAATGGGCTGCAGCGATCTGTGTCAGAGGGGACAGATTGCCGATTACAGACTGTGTGAAATCGCTGACAATCTGAGTTTCTGTCTCCGTGCCGTCTACTCACACCTCCACCCCGCTCCTGCTGACAGCGGCGTGATCGTCCCCATTCCAGCAGCTTGCAGGATTAGCCAGCCTGTTATTGGCTACTGCAATTTAAAAAAGCCAATAACAGGCTGGCTATTGCACCCGCCCACTGCCTGCTGTCAAATCAGCAGAAGAGGACCCGATTGAGAACTTTCTCCTTCAGGTCCCTCCTCTGCTGATTGACAGCAGGCAGTGTGCGGGTGCAATAGGCAGCATGTTATTGGTTATTGCAATTTTAAATAGCAGGCTGGCTATTGCTCACAGCAATAAAGTAAAAAAAGTTAAACAAAAATTAAAAAAGTTAAAAATTAACTAAAATAAAAAATACAAAAAAAGTTAAATAAAACAAAAAAAAAAAAAAAATTAAAAAAAAAAAAAAAAAAAAAGAAAGGTTAAAAACTAAAATTAAGAATACAAAAAATGTAAAAAAAACCACAGCCTCCCGAGACCCACAGCCTCCTAAAACCCCACACAGACATCAATTTTCCATTATAGTTGTGAGTGGAACCTCATGTTTAAGTTTCGACAAAAGTCCTTGCAAAGTCTAGAGCCGCCTCTGGGTAAGTGGATCACACTGCTGTTAAAGGGACCCTGCAGAGCCCAGCATTGAGTCTGCACGTTCCACCTGAAAGTCTCTGGGCTCCGCAGGGTTTTAGGGGGGCTGTGAAGGATCTGTGGCATTCTCTGAAGCCTGCAGAGCCCCCCTCAGATCCTACACAGCCCCCCAGAGATCCTTCACAGCCCACCTGAGACCCTGCCCTAGGCAAGACGAAACTCAAACGCCCCTCCCCCCACTAAATTTGCCCCACCTCTTCCTGTTTTTGACTTTTTGCGTAACCTGTCAGTCGCCGGATACAGTGCACACATTGTATTCAGCTTTTGACAAGTTCCGCTATTAGCATAGCAGGAAAGCTGGGGTTTCAGGTGGGGTTTGCAGGGTCTGTGGTGGCCTCTGCAGGGTTTTAGGGGGGCTGTGCAGGATCTGTGGTGGGCTCTGAAGCCTGCACAGCCTCCCAAGACCTGCAGTGCCCACCAGAGATCCTTAACAGCCCACATGAGACCCCGCAGAGCCCACCATAGATCCTGCAAAGCCCACCTGAAACCCCAGCTTTCCTGCTATGCCATATCCTCTAAAGAAAAAAGATGCCTGGACTGGCGAGACTCAGTAGTATCATCAATAGTTTCGCCCTCTTCCAGAGAACTTTCCGACTCTAGTATTCCTAGTACCGACTCTAGTATTCCTAGTACTTCATGGGTACTTCATGGGTACAACAGAAACCAGTTTATTTTACTGATGTACCCATGAAGTACTAGGAATACTAGACCCTGTCAACATAGAAGCCATAGATGTGGATGGTAACTTATCCACCATGGCACTTTTAAAAGATTGAACAGTAGCTTTACATTGCAGCTGCCGCAGCGTTTTCTGCTTAGCTTTTTTTTACTTTTCAAAGTATTTTATTGGTTTTTAACAATTTTTACAAAGAAGTAAAAAGATGTAACATTGGTACATAAGTGTTTACATAGACATATGCATACATTAAGGTCATATGCATGTACATTCAAAAGTGTAATAAAACTAAACTAACAGTTCTGCTTAGCTTAACAGCTGGGGCAGGCAGTGGAACAGAACAATGAGACACTTTTTCTGAAGAATCCTGCATAGCAAAATAAAAACAGATAAGTGTATAGTTCCCCACCACAATGTGTCCCAGGTAACAGTGGAAAAGAAAGCAGAAACAAATCCAGTTTCACTTACTCTACCCTTCGGAACACACACCGCCGCTTGCCTTCTTCCTCCACTGGGCAGCGTTAGCGGCAGACTTTTCCCCCCCACACAACTGTCCTGGTATTCAGGCTCCCCTCGAGCAGCCTCCAACACACCAAACAGCAGAGAGCAGAGGCTTGGAACGCACCGGAAGTGCCTCTCAGCTTACCAGCTCAGGACACTGCTCAGCATGCCAGACGCCGCTCCAGGGCCATGCTACCAACCCCTGCATCAAGCAAGGGAAAAAGAAGGACAGGGCCACAAGTCTGGGGACTGTTTCCTGCAGAAGGTGGAACCAATCATCTCTCAGGTTCCTGGCCTGGAAGATGATTAGAGAAATGTAGCTTATTTGTACATCACTCGGCTTTAGATCCTCAAATCATGTCTACATTTGTGCTGACACGGTCATTCCTTCTGGAGGGTAGCTAATTTTGTGACCCATGGTACCTGTATGTGTTGTAAAGTAGCCACCACTCCAAGCTTGCTCTCGTGATGGACTACAATCTCAAGTTTAACTTACCAATTTATATTGAAATTGTAGGTCTACCACTTTAACTTTAAGATGCTAATAAATATTTTATTTGGTCATTATATACAATGGCAATAATGAAAGTAATATGGCTACACATGCAGAATTCACAAAGAAAAAAAAAAAGCACTGGTAAGGGTCTCACCATATCCTCAAGACCATAATCTGCCTGGGCAATACTGGTACTGCTGAATGTGTTGGTTTCTATTATATCGGCTCCACTAAGCAAATACTCCTGCAAATAAACAAAGCAAATAATTGTGAAAATTGGGGGCTGGTGATACAGATCAACAGAGTTAAAATGGTTTAGATGCTACAAACTAACTTTAGCCCAAGGTGTATTATTTCTAAACCGAAAAAGAAAAAATGTATTGTATTGCAGCATACGTTTCTTTAGCTGAAATGACTGCAACAGTTCTTTTTTTCCCCGGGCATTTTTCCTTTATTTTCACCTGGTAAACCTGAGAATAACACTTAATGTCCCTGGGTAGGTACGCTCACTTCCCTACTGTATCTAAGGAAGTAGTCATGGTTGCCGCCCAGGCCCAACTACAAATATGTCTGCCTTTGTTCACCTCCATTACATGTGTGATGGGGAGAGAAGTAGTTTACAGAAGATATACAAGATTGTTTTTTTGCTTTTAGTGCGGCTCACAAAAAAGTGACAATTTCTGGAAAGATAAACAGGTATTTTCTGTACATTCTGAATATATTAGATGCAGTAGCTGCATTAGTTTGCTTTTCCAGGCAAAGCACTGGTAAGCTGCAATAATACATTTGTTTTTGGGTTTAGTTATCCTTTAAATCATTTTGCCTGTCAAGTGACCATTAAAGAAGCTGCTAAGCAACCCCGAGGCCAGTGCCTCTTGAAGCTGCTTGGCATATTTAAAATCTTCTTGAAAAATGTTTTAAATGGTTTTCTATAGCCAGACAGTGACTTAACAAAGCCTGCTAGGAATAAAACATGTTTTTTCAAGGTAGGCTGTGGGCCTACCTTCTGAAACATAATGGTAGGAATTTATCAAAACTGGAGCAGACAGAATTTGGAGCAGTTGTCAGCTTTTATCTTTCATTTTCAAAGCTTAACTGAATAAAACTAAAGAGAAAAGCAGATTGGTTCCCATGGGCAACTGCTCCAGATTCTCTCTGCTCCAATTTTAATAAATCCCCACCAATGTGTTTTCTACTATACCTGCTCCACTTAGCAAATACTCCTGCAAATAAGTAAATAACTGAGAAATGTGTGGGTTAGTGAGAAAGATCAACACAGAGTTAAAAAGGTCTAGACCAGGGGTCCTCAAACTTTTTAAACAGGGGGCCAGTTCACTGTCCCTCAGACATTGTTAGGGGCCGGATGATGAAGCAGAGAGGCGGGTCATGACGTGCTGCCCAGCTTCCCGATTGGCTAGGAAGCAAGCTTCAGTTGGTAGGCTGCCTGGTTTCCTAACCAATCAGGGAGCCAAGTGGTACGTCATGACTTGCGTCACAGCTTCTTGATTGGCTAGGAAGCACACTTCACTTGTTGGTAGGCAGCCAGGGTTCCTAGCCAATCAGGAAGCGGGTCATAACCCACCACCCGGCTTCCCGATTGGAAAGGAAGCCAGCTCCATGCTCCCTCGGCACTGCTGGACAGAGGGAGAACTCCCTCTGACCGGAAGTTCCGGTACGTGGGGTAAGTATCGGAGCATTTGGATAAGTACAAGTACTTGCCCAAATACTCTGCATCGGTACCGATAGTACTATCAGTATAGGTGCATCCCTAGTGCACATCCATTTTATTGATGGTGGTCATTCAAACGACAAGCGCATTTCTGAGCCTGATTAAGGGCACCCTGTGCGGCCCCAAACGCACTTGTCGTTTGAATGACAACCATCAATAAAATGGATTTTGCACCAACATGGAATCTGAACATCTGTTTTGAAAGATATGTACTATTGCACATAAAATCCCCCCCCCCCCCCCCCCCCCAATTGATATTTATTTTGCAAAAAAGTTTTAAATACCTGTCTAGAACTTAAGAGAGTGAGTCGGCCTGAGGATGATTTCTCCCTCGCTCCCTCTCTCTGATGTAACTTATTCTCACTAACAGGAGAGAAACAGAGAGAGGGAGGGAGTGAAGACAGCGTCACCTGGCACTCACCTCTCGCTGCCCGCCACCTGCCTCCCGTAACCTCTCGCCAGGAGCGGGCCAGGTTAAGGACCCTGGTGGGCTTGATCTGGCTTTGAGGACCCCTGGTCTAAATGCTAAAAGCAATAAACCTCAGGGGTGTGGAATTCCTATTGCCCGACACCCAGGACAAGCTGGGTGGGTAGTTTTTTTCCCCCTACATTTAGCCCTGCCGCGGCCTAGCACAGCTAAATGTAAGAGCGGGGGAGCCACCAATTATTTAGTACAAGTGATCTCAGATCACTTTTATAAAATAAGAAGCAATCTGGTCTTGTATCTGAAAATAATAGCTGACTGTTGTACTTAATTTCTTTGGCACGAACTTAAAAAACAAGTTTGCAGCTCACATCACTCAACTGTAGCACAGTTTTAACAGGTCAGTTCTTCAGAAAGTACTGAAGCCATTAGGATCAGCCAAGCTAATGACACCAAAGAAACTAGCAAATTCAGGAGGTCAGCAATTGAAGCCAACATGCCTATAAAATTTCTATTTTATAAAGGCCTCCTATTACTGTATAGATATAAAATGTTTTATTTTGAAAGATACCTTGTGAATTTTGTAGATTATGTCAGGCTGGGTGATGCTTAAAAGGTCATTATTTCCTTTTAGGGGTTTTTCATGTTCTGCAAATTCTCGCCCCCTAAAGGAATCTTCAGAGAGGGAATGCTGCTGGATCATGGTGCCCATCCCACCATCTAACACCATGATTCGTTCCCGTAGAACAGATTCCAGTTCGTCGTGGAGACTAACAGCTGGTGTGACAGCTACAATAAATAAAATTATACACTTATCAGTTTTATTTTGTAAAGGAAAAAACAAACAAATAATAAGGTAGCGATAATACTGAGAAAAAGTGAATCACTAAAAAACAAACAAACCTTATTTTGCCTGTAAATAAACCCAGGAATTAATTTGCTTCACTTATATATTATACTTTTATTTTATTTTTTTTGACATGCGAGTGTTAAAGGGAACTGGGCACCCAGCACACAAGGCAGAAGAGAGGATTGTTCTAGTATGCGGAAAACATGCTCTCCGAGACCGTAAAGGCTTAATTCTCCTAAAGATAAATGCATACTGAAGTAAACTGCAAAGCAAAATCTAAAACCTTTCAGCAAGGCCGGGGAGAGCAGAATTGCAGGCCAGTGGTTAAAATGATACTAAATTCAGGTGTTAAACCTTAAAAAAAAATGCATTCAAGTACCTTAACTGTTAACAAAAATGTACCTAATTTATGCATCACTTGGCTGTAGAACCTCAAATCATCTCTGAATTCATGCTTCCTTCTGTAGCCTGTAAGATAGCTACTTTTGCTCCCAATGGTCCCCGTGTGTGTTGTAAAGTAGCCACGGTTCCAAGATCGCTTCTGTGGCAGACTACAATCTCTGTACAAATTAGTAAACTAAATGTGAGATTGTAGTCCATCATAGGAGTGAGCTTGGAACAGTGGCTACTTTAAAACAAACACGGAACATGGAGACAAAAAAGGTAGGTACCCTCCAGAAGGACAGGGTGAGCACTTAGAGATGATTTGAGGATCCACAGCTAAGTGATGCACAAATTAGGTACATTTGTAGTATAGTTAGGGTACTTGAATACATTTAAGATTTAACTTGTGGGTTTAGCGTCATCTTAATTTGTATTTTGCTTGCAAGTGCAATTTCGATTTTGCTTTTATGTAAGCAAGTAATACATGCAATGAGAGATGTTTATTCATTCATACAGAATAGCACTGCAGTGCCTTGTAAAGAATCACGTTATACACCCAGTATAGAGATCTTAGCCTAAAGCAGACCCTTGAACTCGAAAAGTAAAGATTTGCTATTATATAGGGACCATCAAGTCCCCTGAACATTTTACTTTTTGCCTTGTTTTCCTCCTAAAATATATCAATATCAATGCGTTCCAAAGCTGTATATCTGCAGTTTGATACCATATAAAGCACTGCTACCTCTGACTGCTAGTCTCATGAGATATGGAGTGATATTACTGTACGGTAAGGCGTGCTCCTTGACGGAGAGGAAGCTGCACATGAGGATCTCGAGTGCAGAGATACCTCTGCTTCGGCTTAATTTAGTTTGTGGATCTGTGCCTTCAACTTTCCGCTGTTTTGTGAATATTCCCCTACCAGATAACCAGCCATCAATAAAACACAGAGGCAAGACCAGTTTACCTTAATGGGCTTCAAGAAAAAGATTTTACTGTATACACAAAAATCTTTTTTTTGTCCAGTTAGGGACACAGGAATTCCATAATTCTAAAATAGGGATGTTCAAAAGCAGTCCAACTAAGAGGAGGGCAGCAGTTATTGATGCATCCAAGAGAGAACCAGACTGTCTGCAACAACCAGAAAGAACAAAGCTGGAATCTGGAATCAGAAATGGTGACGTACGCTACAGGAGAGGGGAAATGCCAATGAACCAAAAGGAGATCATATTGGATCAACCCGAGTCCACACTAGCAGAAACGGAGCAAAAACCACCAAACGGTGGGGCAATATAACTACCCTAATGGGTAGAACAGACCAGCAACAAGAATGTTCAATAAGGGAACACTAGGAAATTTTCAAGCTCCAAAACACACTAAGGAAAAATTGAACAACAGGTACACAAAACAAGCCCTAAAATTACAACCCTATGCATCTGGTAAGAAAGGCTCCCAAAAGGAGAAGAGATGTCTAGGACAGTCATCTAATCTTGTATGAGATATTCAAGATGGGAGAACTATAGGATAACACTACAAAAAGGGATAGTGAAGGACATTAGAAGTTGGAGACAATCCTAAGACCAGCCCCTTAAGTCAGAGAGACTGACAGAGGTAAAAAGAAGTACCCCCCACCAAAATAAACAGGAGTGGAAGCCAACCATCCCATACTGGTGTAGAAACATGTATGATGAGCAAAACTGCCCAAAAGGACAACCAGTGGTGTCCCTAGACCCAGGCAAGGCGACCCTTGCAGGGCTTGCCTGACTGATCTGGGACAAGGAACTAGAAGTCCTGTTGCGATCCAGCAAAGCATTCACAGCCACGGGGCAAGGGGTAAGAAGCTTAGCCAGAGATCAAAATGATAAGCTGATTAAGAACATGAGCAAGAACCTCCCCAAAGGATTTTGAGGAACCTCCCCAAAAAGGCTGTGAATCAGCCACAGTAGGAGGGCTCACTAAATAAATTTAACCCAAGAGGACCCCAGGACGAATTCTACTCATTGCTCAGCGATTGTTTACAGCTGGGTTGCAGTGTGAGCCAACTGATGACAATCCAAAGGAAAACCAAGCAGAGTAGCAATGGTGAAGGTCCTACAGCACCAATCTGAAGTCCAACAGGGTTCAGGTCAAGTGACCCACTCACAGTAGGACCTCCTGAAGCAGTGTGGAAAGTGAGTCACCAGCATACCAACAGCATCATCATCAACATATTTTTACATTAAATCGAACATGTTATCATTAAAAAAAAAAGTAACGTTTCAAGACCACACAGGGTTCTTTCATCAGGCAATGTGATGACAAATGCAAAACAGTTCAAATCAGATAATACACCAGTGAAATCCTCAGAACCAGTCGAAAAGTCCCTCTTCACCCATTCTGATGTCCTATTCCTGCCATTTATACACAGAAAACTCTGTTAACCAATTTTCAACTAGCTGGAACTCATCTAACCAGCGGAAAAAAAAAAAAATCCAGCACTCTGCACTCACTGTTATGCTGAACCTCTGCGATCTTTTAGGAGACAGCCAGGAGGGAACCGGTCTGTAAAATGACAGCTGCTCCTGCACATGCCCCCTTTTCTGTGTATACAGGAAACATGCACTTGTGCGCAAGGGGGCATGCGCGCGCGCAAACAGATGCTCACCACTTGCACACAGGAAATTATGCTTTTTCCTCCAACATATAAAAAGGAGCCTGCCTTATCCCTAGTTGCCGGATGATGATCTTCAGCACGTTCCCCGTGTTCCTGCCACTTTTTTGATTACCTGCTTTCTCGTGCCTGACCCGGATCGCTGTCTGCCTCCTGGACTTTGCCTCTGCCCGGCTGGTTTTGACTCCTTTGTTCGCTCCCGTCTTCTGCTTCAGTACTTCGCTGCTCGCTCTGCCTGACCTCAGCTTCACCTGACCAAGCTCCTGATCTTCTATGCGACACAGTATCCACACCAGCATTGGCACTCGTGCTACTCTGTCACCTTCTGTCCCCATTCCCAGTAGTGAAACACACAAAACACAAGGGAAGCCTCCTAAACTACCGTTCTCCAACCAGGTACGCGACACTGTCACTATAGTAATGTTGGCTGTGATGTGTGTCTCCGCTCCCGTTTCCTGCTCCGTCCACTCAGAATGTATATCCCAAAAGATACACACTAATGGGTTGTTAGGAATGGGAACATCATATACCAGATTCATAAATTCTAGTATATCATGCCAATAACTTTTCAGCTTGGGACATCTCAATAATAGATGTATAAATGAACATGGTTCTAGGCCACGTTTTGGACACCTAGTGTGCTCTCTAAAGACCTATTTTATACAGGAAGGCTGCGGTACGATACGCGCCATGTAGAATAAACAGCTGTGTCACCCTATGTGTGGCAGATAATGATGCCAAAAGTGCCTCTTTCCATAGGTTCTCCTCAATCGGTCCTAAATTGTCTTCCCATTCTGCTCTACATCTCAGTGGGAATTTATTTAAGTATTCAATCAAAAAAGAGGTCTCTACATATATGAAAACTACCCCTTTTACTCTTTCCCCATTAAAAATAAAAAAAAGACACTATGATTCTATTTGAGCATATTTCCACTCGAATTCCCAGATACATAGCAAGAGCATGTCTAAGCTGGAGGTGCTTATAAAACTGCGATTTAGACAATCTAAATATAGATTGCAGATGTTCAAAGGTTTGCAAATTTCCCTGCTCATACAATTGTGCAAGAGTTACCACCCGCGACAGCTTAACTTCTGGGAGCAGTGCATTATCCCAAATGGGCATATATTCCGTTATCCCCGAGATGTACATTCAGCATTTTACTGATCTCCATACCCTTCCTATCCATTGAATGGTAGGAAAAGATGAGAATTTTGTTAAATATCAAAGTGTTTCTATAGACAGAAGGGGACCCTTATCTTTAAGCAGATGATTCACAACATCTCGCGACTCTAATGCCATGAATGTGGGGATGTGAACGAATTAAAGTAGGCCCCACAACCAATAAAATTGTTCTATTTGCAGATAATGTAGTCCTTATCCTCTCTCACCCACTAACATCCCTTCCCGCTGTAAGACAACTCCTAGAACGATTTAGCAAAGCCTCATATTACAAGGTCAACAACGCAAAGTCCCACCTCCTAGGCCTCAATATTTCCCCCTCTCTGCAACTAACTTTGCAAGCAGCTTACCCCTGTGCTTGGTCGAAATCATCCATCACTTATCTAGCCATTCAACTCCCAGCCTATATACTATATGGACTATAACTACAAACCGCTTCTCCAATCCATACCTAAAGACCTAGCCTCCCTCTCCAAATTTCACCTTACAGTATGTGGTAGAGTAGCAGCATTTAAAATGTTAATCCTTCCCAAAATATTCTATGTCTTTCGAACCCTTCCCATAATTCCTCCCACCTCTTTTTTATCCACCTACAAAAGCTAATCCTCCGTTTCATCTGGCACAATAAGAAACCTAGATGTTCTGCACACATCCTATATAAACATAAATCCATGGGTGGACTTGCCCTTCCTAACCTCGCTAAATACCACACGGCTACAATCCTAGCACAAGTTCAACACTGGTGCCAAAATCCACAAGACAAACTGTGGGGTCAAATGGAACTTTTCCTGCTGTCTTGTACCTCCGCTGTCGCTTAAAGTAACTTCAGTCCCCCTTTCCTCGCCCTTTCCGACTATACAATCCATACTCACAACATGGAAAACCTTACCTACCTCCTTTCCATGTACCAAATCCGTCCACACATTTCCCACTCCACTAGATTTTATACAACACTGCATCCCTCATCTGAATCTGAGACACTGGAGAAAATCCGGTATTTATTTCATGCAAGACCTTTATATCCAGAATACAGTTAAATCTATGCATACCCTGTGCGAGCAATATAACATGCCCAAAATTGAAACATACCAATATCTAGAGTCGACACATCTCTTGACTTCCCATCCGATAACGCTAACTATACCTATAGATGCCAACCTCCATAAATTCTGATTTAGCTCCACCCCCTTCAAAGGAGGTATCTCTACATTCTATGCCCTCTTAGGTCTCTATGATCATTTTCAAAAAACCCCTCCCATGATCAAGTGGGAACAGGAACTTGGTACCTCCATCTCGGATACCCAATGGAAACTGGCACTTCAAGCATCATACAAAGCATCCTGTACCGTAGCTCCATCCCCGCCACATCCATACCGTCTATATCGCGGCTGAACCGTGTCACATCGAGCCCCTGAACTGCATCTCCACTCCCCGCTGGTCATGGATAAGTTTGTGGCTCGATCGCAGCCGGTCCGCCACACTCTATACCGCCCGACCCGGCGGTCACGCAGCCTGCATCAGCGGTCATGGAGCACACTGACACAGACGATATGGGGTAGCTGGGTGAGTCCGATATAACGTCTCCCCATGCCCCCATTGATTACCAGCACCTGGCAGCAACTGTGGCCTCTCATTTGAGATTAGAGATCGGTGCCATTATAGCAGAATCCCTGAAGTTGCATATGGGGCCTATTTCAGCGACCTTGGAGGCGCAGGCATCCAGGATGCAGGCCCTGGAGACGCGTGCGAGTGGAGTGGGGTGGAGGATCAAGCCACTGAAGCTGCTAGATCTCATGCTGAAGATAAAAAAATGCTGCAATATCTGCAGGATAAGGTTGATGACCTAGAAAACAGGTCCCGCAGAAACAATATCAGAATTATTGGGATCCCTGAATCAATCCTGCCTACTGATCTCCAGCGCTTTTGCTCTTCTATAGTGCCACAAGCCATGGGCATCACATCTACCTGTGCAGTGGAAAGGGTCCACAGAATAGGCC